AGATATATTATCGTAACCGGCCGAGTTTTTGGATTTCAAGGATCGGACTACTGATGAAATCTCGTTCACATCCGTAGGATAGACGAAGAAAGTTCTGTCATTTGGGCAATTCTGATTTTTTAAATAATCCCTGATCTCAGTTTCATTTGTTTCTCCATCAATTTCAATTGCGTTCAAGAAGTAATCATTGAATTTATTAGTGAATGAGTTGGAGTCCTCACTTTCCGGTATTTTGATATTTTTTTTAAATTTTGTGACATTTTTTGTTTCTCTGTTTATGATTTCCCAAGTTTTCTTAATTTTATTTTCACTGGTAAGAATTTCCTGTTCCAAAAACGAAGCTCTGGCTTTGGCTATAACTTTTTTTAGTATATAACAATATTTTTTCCTGAATCTGTTGAGTACTTCATTATCTATTCCCCTACAGAACGCTGTCAACTGCCTTTTATGCAAGCTGGAGTTACGTATCCCTTTGGTTATCCATTTTTTGTTTGATTTATTTTTCATCAATTTGAGAGGAAAACAAATTTCGAAATTTCTTTCTAGTACACTTATAAATGCATCAAATTTCAACTCGAGGTCTGGGTAAGGTATTTTTGTGTAGTCATCAGATACAAGTTCTATGGCAATTTCATGATTGAATTTATTTATATTTCTTTGTGAATAAATACGTTTGTAGACACTTTTTTCGTCAATACTATGGCGAAGGTCGAAGCTTATTTTTTGATAATAATGATCAGATATTCCATTATCGAGATTCTCAATTTGGACCACATCGAAATTCACAAATATATTATCTATACAGGTGGATGAGTCTTTATCAATTCTTGTTGGACTCATTATGGTTTGATCAAGGTTGAATGATGTTAAGAGATTAATTAAGTCATTTCTACTAGGTGTGTCAGAAGAAAAGTTCACATTGAAGTCCCCACATAACACAACTTTTCCATCATTTTTGGTTAGGTCGGTTAATATCCTATCGAGATGGGCTAGAAATTGTTTGAAATCACCATTTGGAGCACGATACAAAGCAATAACTACAATATTGCATATTTTTATCACGCTGAATTCAATACATTTTTCTATATTCAGATACTCTAAATGATTTATTTTGCTACTGATGCTAAGAATAGAATTTCGAACCATTATACAAGTGCCGCCATTTTTATAATTGTCTCTACTATAGGAAGATAACATGGTAAAACCTTGTAAATTTTAAAAAGGTTCTTCCTCTGGTTTTAGCCAGTGTTCACTTATATTTATTTATTTATTTTTATTTATTTATTTATCTCAGCAATTGACATGTAAAAAATACAGGAAAATTGTGAAAATTGTCAACAGGTGAAAATATACAGGCAATATAACATATCCTATCAATACTCCTTCGATTTAAACATTCTGATGTACAGGACATAATCACATAAATATACACTTATTTACAAATATAAATACACATTAATAACACGATAATAAGCACATACATGAGAAGCATGTTGACTATACCTATCACATTCATTATCATAAAGTTCCCTAGTTAAAAAATTCTTCTATGGTGTAGCAGTTTTTGAGGAGTAAGTGTTTTTTCAGGCGATTCTTGAAAATTGTTAATGACGCTGTATTCTTTATGTGATCCGCAAGAGAATTAAAGCATTTGCATCCAATATATTCAAAACTTTTCTGATATCGAACGGTGCTATGCCGGTGGGGTAAAATAAGGTTTTTTCGTCTGGTATCATGTTCATGCTGTGTTCTGATAGCATTATAAGTAGCCTTATTTTTGAAAATGAAACAACACGCTTCGAGGATGTACGTGCTCACAACAGTAAGAATGTTAAATTTTTTGAAAATATCTCTGCATGAGTCTCTTCTACTTAGTTTAGCAATTATCCTAATAGCGTATTTTTGTAATAAAAACACCCTTTGTACAGAAGAACTTGCTCCCCAATTTAAAATTCCGTATCTCATATGAGAATGGAAGTGGGCGTAGTATAAGGGTAGAAGGATGTTTTCACTGCAATGACTCGACATGAACTTTAGTGCGTAACATCCTCGTCTAAGTTTGCCGCACACAATGTCAATATGTGAATTCCATGAAAGTTTTGAGTCGAAGGTAATTCCTAGCATTTTGATAGTTTCAGAAGAAGACACAACATCATCAGTATTCTCAAACAATAAGAGCTGCTGATGTTCCCGACTATTTGCACCAAATATTAGGGCATTGGTCTTTGTCTTATTAATTATTAGATGGTTTTTGTGTGACCATGTTATCACTTTAGTATAGGTATTCTCAGCCAATGTTTTTAATGATGATAAATTCTCTTCTATAATTAAAATGTTAGTATCATCTGCATAACATGTTGTAATAATTTTATTGTTTTCATTCAAGTAGGATATGATGTCGTTGGCAAATACTAAAAATAAGAGGGGGCCTAATATTGAACCTTGTGGGACACCTTGAGTAATGCCTAAGGTATTACTGTTTGTGTTGTTTATTTTAACAATTTGCTGTCTGTCAGTTAGATATGATTCTAGCAAGCAAAACGGTGTTCCCCTCAGTCCATACCTTGATAATTTTGATAATAGAATCTCATGACTAACACAGTCAAAAGCTTTAGAGAAGTCTATGAAGAGGCCCATAACATTTTTTTTATTTTCAAGAGAATGAATAATGTTATTTTGGAAATCGCATAAGGCTGTCTCCGTACTTTTATTTGCTGTAAAACCGTGTTGTGAAGATGATAATAGTTTGTTTGAAGTAAAAAAATTGGTCAATTGAAATTTGATGTTCAATTCATATAGCTTAGATATGCTGGCTAACACACTTATAGGTCTGTAGTTGTTAAGGTCATTGTGATCTCCTTTTTTAAAATAGGGTGTTACTCTTGCTATTTTTAAATTTGTTGGAAATATGCCTTTTTCTGTGGATAAGTTTATGAGATAGATTAATGGATGGCATAATTCATTTTGACATTGTTTAAGTAATTTATTTGATATATTGTCAATGCCACAAGAGTTAGAATTTTTTAAACCATTAATTATACTTTTTAAATCATTTTCTGTAATCGGGTGCATGAAGAAACTATTGGGATTATTGTCAATATTTTGATGTATGAATTGCCAATCATAATTGCTGTTATTTATCAGTGGTTTTGTGAAATGTATATTGAATTTATTGGATAACTCTGTATCATTCAAAGTTGTGTCATTTTCTGTTATTACTATTTTTCTATGGTTTACTGGAGATTTTTTTTGCAAGTCATTGATAACATTCCAAGTTGTTTTCGACTTATTATCAGAGGTTAAAATCAAATTGTCATAATAAGACTGGGAAGCTACCAGTAGACCCTGCTGATATTCTCGATTCAAAAAACTACTCAATTCCCTGAAACGAGGATCATGTTTGGCTAGATTATTGTAAAGAGAGACATTGTTCTTGAGGTTAACTAGAGCAGGTGTCATAATATATTTAGTTACTTGTTTCTTATTATCACCTCTTTGGTGTACCTTTCTATTCGGAAATGACATCTCGAAGTAGTGTAACATGATATCTGCAAATGCTTGGTAGGCTAAGTTGGGACAAGACTGAATATAGATCTCATTCCATTTTTCATTCCGTAAATAATTTCTGAACACACTTATGTTCTCATCTGAAAAGTTTCGCTTATAATAAAATTGTTTAAACGTCATGTTCTCTGGCAGTTCATCAAAGAACAGGTCAAAAAATTGGGAGTAGTGGTCTGAGAGATGCATGTTCACTACTGCTACACTATAGGGTTTTACAGTCTTGATTAGGAAATTATCAATACATGTTGCTGAGTTTCCTTTAACTCTTGTCGGGATTCTCACTGTGACATTAACATCAAAACAAGATAATAAATCTTCGAGTAATATACAATATGTCGTGTGAGAAATAAAGTTAATATTGAAGTCACCTCCAATAATTACTGTCATCTTTGGTGAACATATTTTACTTAAAATATCACTTAGTAGTCCCAAAAACTCATAAAAGTCTCCATTAGGAGGCCGATAAATTACAATGCAAATTATTTTTTGTGCAACTATTTTTATAGCACAAATTTCCAAGATACCTTCTTTACAGCAATCATCTATATCATATCGTTCTACAACTCCTTGAAAGTCATTAAGTTTATAGATTGCAACTCCACCATGAGTCTTTTCTTTTCTAGAAAACGAATTACAAAGAGTGAATCTACTTAATTTGAAGCTATCAATCGATTCTTGAGACTGCCAGTGTTCAGATATGAGCAAAAAATCACAGTACTTGTCATTTTCGAAAATATTGTTCAAAAGTAGTGTTTTATTTCCGATACATTGGATGTTCTGGTGACAAAAGGTGATTTTGGACTTTTTAGCATCAGTTACAGCTTGAATATTTCCTACCGGTTCACCGTTCGTTTTTGAGAATGATCTAAAAAAGGAGGTGAGACTGGTTCTGTATCATTAAATTCGCTTATTTCTATCGTCTTCAGAACAATTTTTTGTTGGTTTCTTGCTGTGAATTCAAAATTCTTCTTTAGTTTTTCAATGAGTTCAAATTTGCTGCCTTTTTGTTTTCTATCAGTAAGAAATGCTATTGAGCAGTTTCTATTGAATTGTTTGAATGTCTTAATTTTTTTGAAAATAAGCCTATTGATATTTTTATCATGGTAGTTGTTACATTCTGATATAATGAAAAGATTTGTAAATTTTCCAAGACCTAGTACATTATTCAGAAACAGTTGTAGGGTTCTGTTATTACTTATGTTATTAGTGTTAAACATAACAATTATTGTATCAGCCTGGCCATATTCTAATGTTTCGCAGAAAATATTTTTAGTTAAGTCACAAAGTTCAATATCCTTTCTTATATTCGCATTTATCTTATATGTAGATTGATCTATAATTTTTGTGATGGCTCGTGGGAATCCTGTCGCATACTGGTCGCCACAGATATAAATTTTTTTGTTAAAACTCGTTTGACTTTGAATGGTGTCAGTCACATCTTCAATATTTGTAGTAGTAGTAGTAGTATTTTGTTGAATAATTTCAGTTGATATATTCGCTACTTCCAATTCTTCAAAAAGACTTGTTGAGTTTCTATCCTCTTGAGTCAAAGTTTCCTCTCTCAGTGTGTCATCTAGTATTGGAATATCTACGCCACTCTTAAAAAGGGAGTCAGTTATTGTCGATTGTTGATTCCTATGATGAGTGTATGTTTGTGTATCAGCTGTTTTTACACAGACCCTTTTTTCTCTGATTTCTTTCGTTAGCTCCTTAATTTTACCTTCCATTTCTTCAATGAGCTTTTTTTGCCTTTCAATCAGTGAATTCATTTCTTTTTCAGATTCAAATGCCAGTTGTAATGCAATTTGATTTTCATCCTTCAGTTTTTGTATGTACCTGTCTTTTAGAAATCCATCTTCGGCAAGTTCGTTGATTGTTTTTTCTAATATACTGTTTTCTTCTATGTGTTCTTCCTCGGTGTTCTCTTGGCAACAGATTATTTTATTGTCTTTCACAAATCTAACTTTTTTTTTCCAATGTTGTTGCACGCAGCTTTTATGAAACACACTAGAACACTTGGTGCACACATAATGAATAAAAGGTTTCAGTTTGCAACATTTGTAGCTCATTTTCGGGAGCGAATTTAAAACACGTCTTGCTCGCGCGAATATCTATGAACAAAATATTTCGACTGAGTTTTCTTGCAAGAACGTGTTCAATTCATCAATTTTGTTCCTAAGGCATCTCAGGTTTTAATGAATAAGGGTTAGTGTGTTTTGCGGAACGAAAATAACTCTGTCTCTTACTCTCAAAATTTTCATTTGGGCTACCTCCTTCTGCCGTTCTACCCCTTTTGACTGAGGCCGATCTGTCCCTTCCTCCTCCAGCTCGGGTTGCTGCTGGCTGACTAGTCTGCGACGAGCCGCTACTTGATAATATATGTCTAGAGGAGACAGGTTGTTGACATGGAAGGATACTCGGGAAAGAAGAAGTGTTGCTTTCATTGCTGACTACTCTTGTTGCTGCTGTCTTATCTACTACTGATGTTGCCACATTTCCTTCGATATTTTCATCAACCTCGATGTTACGTAAATCATCCAGGGTCCACCATGTGCCGTTTATGATCAATCCATTATATTTCTGTATCACTTGATTTCCAGCAGATTGAGCCACTCTTTTATGGTGTAGCAGTTCTTTCCTTGTTTCTCTTTCCGCTGGGGTCAGGTCTGCGTCGATTGCATAATTGGTTCCTTTCAATTTATGGGCCATTCTTTGAATAATATGTTTAATTTTTAGACATGAGAACTTAACTAGGATAGGTCTGCTTCCATTGTGAAGTGATTTCCCAATTCGATGTACCTGGTCTAAATCTCGATCAAGTATCTCATAACTTAGTTTTTGACTGATGAAGTCTATTACTAGTTGTTCCGTGATTTCGCCCTGCTGTTCTTCAAGACCAAAAATAATGATATTTTTGGATCTTATGGCACTTTCCAAATAGGTCAGGCGGTGATTCATTTTATCCACACTTGCATTTAATCTCGAAACTTCTTCGCTAACTTCTGCAAATTTTATCCCGATTGACAATAGCCGAAAGCCTGAAATACGTGTCTACGGTTATTTATTCATGAATCTAATCTCTTTCTTGTTTTTTATATATATATATATATATATATATACACCGTGTCCGAGCTAACATGTCCCCCCCTGTAAAAACTCATCTGCGCGATCGAATGACTCGGAATTTGTTCACCCAGTATATTTGATGATGCTCACTCGAAATATGCAATTGAATAAATCTAAGGTATACAGGGTCACAGCGAAGTGTACCTCAATTTTCTTATTTGGATAGAGACACCCAGTATATCATTCCATATTCAAGTAGAGTTCATTATTACAAATTCAACAGTGCCGAGTTTGATGGGATTTTTTCAAACGACTACGAAGATTTTATCAATATAACACGATTGAAATCGAATGAAGGGTGTCCTGCACATAACTACAGACCCGTAAAGGATTGTCTTCGCCATCGGTTTGGAGAAAATCTAATAACCACCATATCTCGATGGTGATAGCAACTGGCCAGCTCGGTCGCCAGACCTCACATCACTGGACTTTTATTTGTGGGGCTACTTGAAACAACAGGTGAATCAGTCACCAGTCGAAAATCAGAAATTTATGCGAACAAATTGATCGCAACGTGATACATAGGGTCACAATGAGCGTTATCAAAAGAGCTAGGAAATGTTTGCAGCAGAATGGACGACATATTGAGCAGTTGTGGTTTCAATTATTCTCTTTTCATTCGATTTCAATCGTGTTATATTAATAAAATCTAATCATACACGTTTTCATTGAATCGTTTCATATTTTGCCATATCTTCGTAGTCGTTCGAAAAAATCCCATCAAATCCGGCATTGTTTAGTTTGTAATAATGAACTGTACTTGAATATGGAATAATATACTGGGTGTCCCTATTCAAATAGGAAAATTGAGGTGCACTTCAGTGTGACCCTGTGTACCTACGATTTATTCAATAGTATAATTCGAATGAGCATAATCAAATATACTGGGTGACCAAATTTCAAGTCATTCGATAACGCGATCGATTTTCAACAGAGGGGGACATTTTGGTTGGGACACGGTGTATATATATATATATATATATATATATATATTTATATATATATAGACTAGTAAATAGTGAGGTTTTGCAGCAAGTAAAAGAGAACTCTTTGAAGATTATCCAAGCTTTCGGAATTTAATTGATTCCATCATCAGGGCATACTACAATAATTATTGTCAGTAATATTATAAAAGTCAAAATTAATTTGTACTTACATCTACGTGAGGATGATTACTATGATGTTAACAATAATTTTCAGAAATGAAATGTGATACATCATCCAGAAACGAAGTTGTTTGTAAAGTTATATAAAACAATTAAAATACAACAGTAGTAAAATTACAATCACACATGTTAAAAACTTGAACTTGAACTTGAGCTAGCCGGTCATGGACACCATGTGGCCGGATATGAAAAAATTAATGAATGAATGACAATTGAAATTAGGTTAGAGTGTTGACAGTATTGACAGACAAGTACTATCAGTAGTACCAACTATTGTACCAACTGAAAAAATTGTGGTAATTTCGAAATTGATGAAATGGAAGTTATAGTTCAGAATTATCAATGGAAATAACCCTGAAGGGGTTGATGTCTAATGTCAATAAATAGGCATAAATTTCACTTAGATAATTGATGTCAGTTTTTTTATTCATGTTGTTGGCCTCTTGATAGATGCAAGCCATTTCTAAAAAGGACCTTTTGGTCAAATTGTTCTCAGAAGCTAAGATTTTTACATTGTCATAATCCATATGATGGTCAAATTGGTTGACATGATCTGCTAGAGCACATCTTTCTGGGTGTAATCTACTATCACTTTTGTGTGAGGTAATTCTTGCCTTAAGGGCTCTTGATGTCTGACCAACATACGTTTTATCACAATTTTTGCACGGAATACTATATACCACATTCATTCGAGATGTCAATGGAATTTTGTCTTTCACTTTTGTGTATATGGACTTAATAGTGAGAACTGTTTCATTGGCTATTTTGATGTTGGGTATATTAACAAAAATTCTAGCCAGTTTGGGTGTGATATCTTTTATGTAAGGCAATGATGTGTATAATATTTGTTGTGGGGGAGTTTCAGGCAATTGGATGTCAGTGGGAGTATGTTGAATTACAAGGGTGTCAGCTTCCAGCGTGGCAGAGTTATTGAATAATATATTTTTTATTAAGCTCGGAGGGTATGAATTATCTATGAATAGTTGTAAGAGAATATTGAGGTTTTTATTGTGAAACGAGGTGTCTGAGATTTTTAATACTCTATTTTTCATCTGTTTGATCAAGTTCACTTTCATTGACTTTTTGTGATAGGATAGATAATTTATATATCTCCCTGAGTTGCATGGTTTCCTGTACCAATCAATCAAGATACTGTTGTCTGCAGTTCTGATGAACCTTGTGTCCAGAAAGGGTACGGATTGCTGGTTGTCTTCAATTTCTATTGTGAACTGAATGTAGGGATCAAAACTATTGAAAGTATCAAGAATCTCACTTGTACACTCTTTCGGTAACGCTACAATTATGTCATCGACATATTTTTTGATAAAGAATGGTGTAGATGATAAAACTGGAATAACTGTATCCAATATCTCATCCATCACATAAGCTGCTAGTATAGGAGAAATGGATGCTCCCATGGGAGTGCCAAAGGTTTGTTCAAAAAACATGTTATTAAACGAAAAATATGTGTTATCAAAAAGGAATGTTATTAATTTGGAAAAATATTCTTCACTGATGTTACAATGTGCACTGATACTCTCCCATTGCTTGTGTATTGCTCGCAAGCAGGCTTCGAGATAAACATGAGCACATCTTTCTGGGTGTAATCTACTATCACTTTTGTGTGAGGTAATTCTTGCCTTAAGGGCTCTTGATGTCTGACCAACATACGTTTTATCACAATTTTTGCACGGAATACTATATACCACATTCATTCGAGATGTCAATGGAATTTTGTCTTTCACTTTTGTGTATATGGACTTAATAGTGAGAACTGTTTCATTGGCTATTTTGATGTTGGGTATATTAACAAAAATTCTAGCCAGTTTGGGTGTGATATCTTTTATGTAAGGCAATGATGTGTATAATATTTGTTGTGGGGGAGTTTCAGGCAATTGGATGTCAGTGGGAGTATGTTGAATTACAAGGGTGTCAGCTTCCAGCGTGGCAGAGTTATTGAATAATATATTTTTTATTAAGCTCGGAGGGTATGAATTATCTATGAATAGTTGTAAGAGAATATTGAGGTTTTTATTGTGAAACGAGGTGTCTGAGATTTTTAATACTCTATTTTTCATCTGTTTGATCAAGTTCACTTTCATTGACTTTTTGTGATAGGATAGATAATTTATATATCTCCCTGAGTTGCATGGTTTCCTGTACCAATCAATCAAGATACTGTTGTCTGCAGTTCTGATGAACCTTGTGTCCAGAAAGGGTACGGATTGCTGGTTGTCTTCAATTTCTATTGTGAACTGAATGTAGGGATCAAAACTATTGAAAGTATCAAGAATCTCACTTGTACACTCTTTCGGTAACGCTACAATTATGTCATCGACATATTTTTTGATAAAGAATGGTGTGAATGATAAAACTGGAATAACTGTATCCAATATCTCATCCATCACATAAGCTCCTAGTATAGGAGAAATGGATGCTCCCATGGGAGTGCCAAAGGTTTGTTTAAAAAACATGTTATTAAACGAAAAATATGTGTTATCAAAAAGGAATGTTATTAATTTGGAAAAATATTCTCCACTGATGTTACAATGTGCACTGATACTCTCCTATTGCTTGTGTATTGCTCGCAAGCAGGCTTCGAGATAAACATTACTAAAAAGAGAAACTACATCCAAACTGGCTATCACATAGTTGTGTGGAAGTAACATTTTATTAAATTTTTCTGAAACCTCGAATGAAGCTTTGATGTAATATTCGTTATCAAAATTGTATGCCTTGGTCAAGATGTTAGTTAAGTAGAAAGCAATAGCTTCTGC